TATGTAGTCTAAATGAAATGACACTAGTTCCTAATGACCCTTCTTTCTGTTGACATTCAGCTGTAATTGGTCTGAATTAGTCTATAATTGGTGTATACTTTTTAGAATCTCTTTTTCCCTGTGTTCAGAATTATAGTCTTCCATGTACATTTCCTCCTCTTCTTTTTATACTTCCTCTTCTCCTTGTTTCCTCATAAATGCTGGCAGTAGTTGTACTAACACATCTGTAGGAGTTAAGATATAATGTGTGTGGATATGAAGCTTAGAATTTGGTGTCATGTGCTGTTCTTTTACATTACTTACTACTTTGGACTTACTCGGGTCTACGTTTCTTCCTCAGCATTGTGAGATTCATCCATGTGGATACATGTGTCTGTTGTGCATTCATTTTCACTGCTGTTTAGATTTCCATGGATGAATGTATCACTATCTGTTTTCTTGTTTGGTCATCAATTTTCTTTCCATCTTTTTGCTGTTATAAATAGTGCTGCACTAAACACATGCGCTTGTATAAGTGTTTCTTTGCAGTATACACTTAGGAATGGAGGAGAATCTTCCATTACCTATGTTCAACTTTACTCCGTGATTTTCATCTTTCTCCATTCTTTTAATTGGCTACCTGGTATTTCCTTTATTTCCTTTATTGGCATATCATAATTTATGATATGATATCCTGTCAGTGAACACCTAGCTTGTTAGTTTTTGGTTTTTTTTTTTTGCAATATATATACTCTTTGCATATGTGAGAATTTATCTGCAGGATAAAATGGCTAGGTGAAAGTGTACGTGCATTTGTAATATATAAAAGTCTTAATGAGGCTAGTTATACCAGTTGGCAATTATTTTTCTAATGAAATGAGTTTATTAAGTGATAGTATCCAATATCTCATCAGTTGAAATGATTCAAGTTTCACAGTATTTTTCAGGCCTGAATTCCCTGCCTAACTCTATATTCAGAAATAATTTTTTGTAGCACACACCCCTTCCTCCAATCTAGCACCTAGTATGGAATTCTTTTATGAAATAAGTTTACTAAGAATGATTGACTGAAAATGTTACCATGGAAGCATGTAGGTTTAACATTTACAATAAAAATGAGTTGTGCCTTACCTTACAATGATAAATATAAGCATATTGTATTTATTCAGTTATAAGACTGTAGGAGCTGTGGTGGCATGGTGCCTAAGGCATTTGACTGCTACAAGAAGACTGGCGGTTCAAACCCACCAGCCACTCCTCAGAAGGAAGATGAGGCAATCTACTTCCATAGTGATACTGCCTCAGAAACCCAAGGAGGGGTCGCTGTGAGTCAGATCTGGCTCCATGGCAGTGAGTTCAGTTTGGTTCGGTTATATTATAAGACTATAGAGTAGACTGAACAATTGTACAACATGAGAGTCAGCAAAGTGTGTCCCATGGGCCAAATCTAGCCCACCCTCTGTTTTTGAATGATCCATGAACTAAGGAGGGTTTTTACATTTTCAAATGGTTGAAGAAAACTATATATATATTGTGACATGGAAATCATATAAAAGTTTACTGAAACACAGTCAGGCTTCATTTTTTATGGTCTGTGTCTGCTCTTGCATCACAACAGCAGGGATAAGGGAGTAGTTGCCGCACAGACCCGTGTAGTGCTCTCATCCTTCCCCACTGCTACACAGTGCACTGCAAGTCACAGTGATGCATTTATAATTTGACAGTGTTTCAAGTGTTGTGCTTGTCACCATATGCAGCATTATCAGTGCTTACTCAGCATATCAAAACAAGAAAGGAAAAGTCAACTTTAAATGCTATATTTTCACACTGTGGAATATAGATTATTGTACAAAATTAAATGACAAAGGCTTGTGTTTATTCTGCAGTCATGTGATAGCTTCGCTAAAAAATATATTACCAAACTAAGCACTCACAACAATATTCTCAACTCTCAGGAAAGCAACCCTCAGAAATCGAAAACTTTAAGTGAAATATCTCTCCACAGAAGAATTTCTTCACAAAAAGAAAAATATTAAAATGAGTTAAATTATGTTTCCAAGTGGCTCATTTTAGCCAAGCAAGAAAAACTATTTACCAGTGGTGAGTTAATTATATCGTATTTAATTACAGCAGCCATCAAAATGTATGTAAAGCAGATAAACTTATTGAAGACTATTAGGCTTTCAGCAACAACAGTTGCTGGAAGAGTTGAGAACATTGGGAGCAGCATTAGTAGTCAATTAAAAAGCAAAACAGGAAACACAAACAGATAAATGTATACTAGTGTTTGTTGCATCACTGTTCACAATGACCAAAAGTTGAAAACAGCTTGTCTATCAACAGACGAATGAATAAACAAAATGTGGTATATACATACAGTGGATTATTACTCCACCGTAAAGAGAAATGAAGTCCTGACACATGGTACAATGTGGATGAATCTTGAAAACGTTTTTCTGAGAGAAACAAGTCTGTCACAAAAGGACAATCCCACTTATATCTAGATTACACAAATGAATATATAGAGGAGAGCTTGTTATTGGTTACTAGAGGCTGGAGGGAGGAGGAAAGAGGGGGTCTTTATTTAGGGAGAACTGACTTATTGTTAAGACATGATGGGAAAATTTGGAAACAGATTGTGGTGATGGTTGTACATGTGGACATAATACCACTGAATTGTACATGTAAAATGCTAAAATGACTAATGTTTTGTTATATATATATTTACTACAATAAAAAAATTAAACCTTAGCAAATTATTTTGAGTAGTTTTCCTTGACTCGATGAGTTGCCAGATGTTACTGATAATACTCACTTGTTACAATATCAAAGCATTGATACAGAGTTTGAAGTGACTAAAGAATTGGCTTCTGTGAATACTATGTGTGAAACAACTACAGGGAAGAATATTTTTAAACAAGTTGAGAAACATTAATTCAGTACAGTCTGAAGTAGAATCTGGTAAAATGTGTTAAATCTAATGGTGATAAAAATTTGTGTGGAACAGAGAAAATGTCTTAGTTGGGAAAATTCACAAAGCTTGTGAAAAATGTAAAATGTTTAAAGCCCGTGGTTAATGATTGTATTATTCATCAGCAGGTGCTTTGCAGAAAATATTTAAGTTTGTCATGTGTTATTGAGCTAGTAGTGTCAATAGGGATCTTTATTTGCTCTCATAAATGATGAGAACCATCATCAGCTTAGCTATCATCAGTTCTGCACATTTTTTTTTTCAGAATAAATCACAAAAATCTTTCTCTACCAGACAGCAATTCAGTGTCTTAGCTGTGTTAAAGTCTTACTGCGATCTTTGTAGCTCAGATTATAGGCTTGATAACATTTATTAACTAATTAAACCTAAAATTACAAGGCAAAGCAGTGTTTATCTGCAAAACTTAATTGTGGTAAAATCACTTTGATGACAACATTGTTTGAACAAGTAATAGCAAGTTGTTTTGTACACTTCTGTGCTGCAGGGTTAAAAATTCCCATATTTCAAAATTCATTCATCTGTGCAATTGAGTAACTTCTGCCTAATCTTCACTTGGAAGTTTTTCATTTAAAGGGCAGATATCAAGAGAACAACAATCTAATAGAATTCCATAAACATCTTCTAAGTGATGCATGTGCTCCATTAAAATCTTATACTTGTGGCTTGATACCAGTATTTGGCAGGACCTATCTGTGTGAAAAGAGAAATATATATAAAATCTCATTACAAATCAGCATTAACAGATGAATACTTAAAATCGATTTTGATGATAGGGAGCACAAACTTTGAACCCCAATTAAGTGAAATCTTATTCTAAAAAAAGAAATTACATTATTCTCATTAATACACCTCTATTACAAAGAAATGTATTCAATTGTTACATTTTAAATTTCATAGATAAAAAAAACCTGTGGGTATGTTTTTCCTTACTGTATATATATTTATCTAATACCTCTGATTTTCCTCTTGGCTCACAAAGCCCAAAATACTTATTAACTACTCTTTTACAGAAAAATTTCACCAGCTCCTGGCATAGAGAAGTGATGTCCAGAGTGAACCTTCTTCCTGCCAATTTATTGTCAGTATAGGTTTTTTTTTGTTTGTTTGTTTGTTCGGTTGGTTGGTTAGTTTTATGAAGGATAATTCCTTCTAGGGAGAAAAATTGTGTCCAAAGCATGATACCTTTTATAAAAGTTCTTGGTCCTTATTCTTACAGAAGAGCTTTTGCTTGTCATTATAATGAAGTTTTGTATTAGAACTGTTTTGAAGGAGGCATTACTTTTTAATTCATAGATGTGCCCTTGGCCAACCACTGTTATGTATGTCTGATTAAAACATTGAAATATGTTATAATTGACTTAACCCTTAAAACAATCAAATTGGGTGATGGTATAGATTATATTTCAGTAAGGTTTGGGTAAGTCTCATGTTGCTAAAAGTCTGTATATTAAAACATTGTTGAGACAAGAGCAATTATCTTAGTTATTTTTTTATTTTTAATTTTGCAATTGGGAAAAATATGTCTATTTAAATAGGTTGCTTCTAATATTTTTGAAGCTCTGGTAGCACAGTGCCTAAGGCATCTGACTGCTAACCAGAAGGGTGGTGGTTCAGACCCCCCAGCCACTTCACAGAAGCAAGACTGGGCAATCTACTTCCATAAAGTTTTACCGCCTCGGAAACCCAATGGGGGTTGCTATAAGTCGGAGTTGACTCGATGGCAGTAGATTTGGTGGTGTTTTTTTTTTTCTGGTCTAATATTTTTAAGCATGTGCTCCTTCATGACAAAATGAAAAGTTGGATGAAAGTAGAAAGAAGGAAAAAAATCATCCATGCATTGTCTAAAGACATCCACTGGAAATCTCTTAGCATATTCCTTTCCTGTCTCTACTCTGTCCTATAGGGTTGCTATGAATAAGAGTTGGAATCGACTCTACAGCAGTGGGTTTTTCTTTTCTGTCTTAAGTGAGTGAAATTCTATGTGTGCCTGTCTCAGTCAGCCCAACAAGTGTTGGTTTTTATTTTGAAGGGAAATTTGAGAATGGTGTTGCTGAAGGAATGGTGGATCCGAATCTAAACCCCATTTCAGCCTTTCGACTTTCAGTTATTCAGAATTCTGCTGTTTGGGCCATTCTTAATGAGGTAAGACAGTATGTTAAATGAATGAAATGCCTGACATTGTTAATATCATTTTGATTCTGTGCTTAAGATCTTTTTGGAATTGAGAATTTACTACTTGTCATACTTTTCCTTCTTTTCTATTTCAGATTCATATTAAAAAAGTCACCAATTAATCATCTCCTAGGAAACCAATATATTTTTTTTCCTGTGAATTTGTTAAAGATAGTTAAGCATGTACTTTTTTTTTTTTTTTTTTTTACTTGAACACTACCTCTTGTGAAATCTACTGTAGATAAGAAGATTGTCATTTCCACTTGGAAAGTAAATCTCCCATGGATAATTGTATTAATTTGAACCTAAGCTGTCCTCCAATTTTAACTTGACTCAAACATTTTACAGTTATGACAGCCTGTTAATATGTCTTGTACTATTTTGGTATTATACTAATACATAAGAGTTGTACATATTGTTACATTCCTTAAATTTGGAAAAAATCAAAGTTAAATACATTTTATGAAGGGGGTACTTTTGAACTTCATTTATTTTACTATTGTAGACCCTCTTTTCTAGAGTATCAGGGATTATATATATAAAGATATAAATATACATAAAAATGCTATGGAGTTAATTTATTAGAAAACACTTAAGAAGTACATATTTTTGTGCAGTAAATTTTTGAATCAATGCTTTTTTCCAAAACCAGTTACCTTGCTTTTTTAAGTTCTTTCTATATTTTTCTTTGGAAATGCAAACATTACAACATAATGCCATTTTTCAAATGCACTGCCATTTAAGAATGATTCTAGATTGATTTCATAACTGAAGTACTTTTTATAATCAGCAATTCTGAACAAAATATTTTCAAAGGCATTCCTTAAAGCCAAGATTTTAAAGACCAATGTCCTTCTTGAGGGTTATTCTACTATACTGTGTATGGTATATAGCCACAGAATCAGTATGATAATATTTCAGTGCACAGGTGTGATGTGTTCAACCTTGATTAGGCTTAACTCACCACTTTCCCTCTAATATGTAACATGACACTCTTCTTTCCTTTTGAATCTTTGTCTTTAATTCATGAGTTAGATGCATTATCTCTTTTCTTGATGATTCTTTTATATCTGCACTCATTTTATGAGTTCTGACAAAATGTTTTCTAGGAAATGCCATTGTATGAGTCATAAGATAATTTGGTATAATTTTAAAGGAAAATGAAATCGTAATATTGGTTTTTGGTGAAAAGTATTGTAGCAATTGTAGGTTTTACCAAAAATACTATTCATTCCATCATATAAGAAAATCGCATGTCCCAAGAGTATTTATTACCCTTAATAATGCAATTCCAAATGATATTATTATGATTATTACAAGCAAAGCATATGATCAGCCTCTGCAATCAGAGATCTTTACAAAAGTGCTTTGTTTTTTTAAAATTATGAATTATCAACATCCAGCCTTCCCAGCCAGTGTGCTTTTGACACTGGTGAGCCTCAAGTGGCCTGCGGCTGGTTCACAGATGTGCAGAGCTTGGTCCTCTCAGATTTCAGCTGATTGCCTTCAGCCTGGAGGAGCTGTTCCCCAGTGAGCTGAACAAACAGCATCAAACAACATCATCTCCTGTGCAGTGCTGGGAAGTGCAGAAGGATTGTAAACATTGATACAGTACAGTTATTTCCATCACTCCATATTACAATAGTTTTTAGTTACTTTTCTTGATTAAAAACTTACATGTTATGAAAAGTGATTTTTATGTCAGAGTCCAGTTAAAATTTGATTGGGGTTTTTCATTTACTTTTCATTTTCTCTAATTTACTTTTTGTTCTGTCCTCAAAATTTCCTTGGATCAGTGTCCACAAGCAAATTTCATTTGAAAAGAATAACCTTTCATTATGAATTTTTGATACCAGCATAACATACTAAATTTCTACTGAAACAATTGAGTAGCACACGGTAAAAATCTGTGGAGATGGGTTTTGAAAGTGTCCCCTGGTTTCCCTGGCTCCCAAGTAGCCGGCAGTGGTTTCTGGAAGAAAATTTGTGCTTTGGAAACCTACAGAGGGGAACGTTACTGCAGGTCCTTGCCATTTGTATGGCTTCTTGGAAGTCTTGCCTAGCCAGCTTTCTCTGTTTTTATGCTGTCTCCCCCTCTCAGGCTTTGCTCATGCTGTTCTTTAACCTCCCTCCTGTTCCTCAGAATGCTTTTAGCCAGATATTACCCATCTTTCAAGGGCCTTCTGCGGCCCACTTCCCCATGAATTCTTGGGGAATGTATGACATGTACCTGGGCCTCATTGTCTAGTAGTGCTTAGAATAGAGCATGGCACATGGTAGCTGTGCACTCAGTAACTGGATGAGTAGACCAGCCATTCCAACTTACAGACATCTTTCTCTTAATTCCCTTTACCTACTGTCCTTGCCACACACTTCCATACACACTCAATTATCTAATTTTTGATTGTGTGTAGAATATGTATATGTGTTTGTGGGTGTGTGTTGTTTCTCTGATCAAACTTCAAACTCCTGTAGGGGATCCATACTCATACTTTTCTTCTGTCCTCTACTCATTGTTAGTTGCTCCCATCTTTCTCCCCAGCTCTACATTAGACAGTTAGAAGTAGCCATGCTTTCTTTTCTCAAGCAAGAAATTGTGATGGTGTTCCTTAAGAGCATTGTTAGAGAGTAGAGTTTCAGGACAGAAGACTGGAGGAGGTGCCGATTACCTAGAACTGAAGGAAAGCAAATACTGGGCCTTGAAGACACACTTAACTGCACTTTTACCAAAATATTTAGTGGGGAAAAGTGGGACTAAGTATATATATATATAATATATATAAATAAGACATGGTTTGGCATCTGGTATGTATTTTGCATTAAGTTCAGACTCTAGGTCTGTGCTGTACTGTACAATAGCCACTAGTCACATGATGGCTGCTTATATTTAAATAAATAAAATGGATTCAGTTCCTCAGTCACACTAGCTATATCTCAAGTGCTTAGTAGTCACAGGTGGCTAGTGGCCACCATATTGGATAGTACAGAAGTAGAACATTCCATCACTGCAGAAAGCTGTTAAGTAGCATTGTTCTAGAGTGCTGATAGGAACATTTTAGAAGCCAGAGTTAATTCTCATTATGACATTAAGAGCAGACATTCAGAATATACCATCATGTGAATGATGGGTATTTTGGGTGAGAAGAAAAGGTTGAGGACCTAGAGTCTATTTATTTCTAGGATTCTGAGATTCAAGATTTCGAAATTCAGAGTCTCAAGTCTCATGCATTGTCCATAGCATGCACTGTACCATACTGTGTAATCAGAAACGCTTACCAGTTACCAGTTTGAGATAGTGTGGTAGAAAAGCTTTGGGAAAAGTTAATGCAAATGCATTCTGTAGCATGTAGGCTATTCTCTCATACATGTGTATATTAATCCAATAATTGGAGATAACTGAACAAAGGTAAAGCTTTTCCAATCAAGGGTTGCACTAGTAATTAGCAAGTGTGATTATTTTAGACCTTCAGCAAAGTTCTGAAGGCTTCTTTTAAATGTCCCCCAATAATGTCCTTCTAAGAAATTGGTTATATGGAAATAGGAGAGATTGCTCTAATAATTAGCAGTGTGTATTTGTGGTAGGCAGACATCTAAGAATGACCCCCTGTGGCCCTCAACCTTGTATAGTGTGCTATCCCTTTGTAGGTCAAACTTGTGAATATGACCCGTGATTATTATGTTATATAACAAAAGGGAGATTATCTAAATGAGCCCGAAATAATCATGTGAGCCCCTTCAAAGCAGTTTCCTCAGACTGGTGGCAGAAGTCTGAATTGAAAGCAGGAGATAGATGGAGGAGGACCACTTGAGAAGGAAGGCAGGTGGCCTTAAAGAGCCAAGAGAGGCCTCTGCTGGCAGCCAAGGAAATGGAAACCTCAGCCCCACAGCTACTGGACCGGAACATGGCCCATCGCCTGCATGCTTAAAAGTGGATTCTTCTCCAGAGTCTGTAGATAAGACCCCAGCTCCACCAACACCCTAATTTTGACCTTTTGAGACCTCAGTCAAGCCTGCCTGGATTTCTGATCTACAGAACTGTGAGATAATTAATGGGTGTTATAAGGCACTAAACTTACAGTAATTCGTTACACAGCAATAGAAAACTAATATATTTAAAAGAAGCAAAAGGGGAAAGTGTCCTCATATTTTATTCACTGTTAGGTATGTCTTGATAGATGCATGAAAAAAGTCTTATGCTAGCAAATCATGTACCTGGGCCTCATCTGGGACATACTCTGCCAGAGATCTCTAGTAGTCATCATTGAAGTTTGCTGGCAAAAAGTTGCAGCCTCCTAGTAGCATTTCCTAAAGGAATTGCTAGAACTAGATTATAGGAATAGGATTGGAACAATGGATAAGAAATCTTCTAGAAGAGGTATTAATACTGATTTAGATTGCTCTGAGCCTGTTGGAAGTATACTACTTCTGAATGATAAACAGGAGTATTTTAATAAAACATTATATTGAGAAAAAAATTAGTATTTGCTTTTATGTAGAGATCAGATAATGTACTATATATTGAAGAACTTAAATTTTTTAAAACTGAGCTTTAGTTTTATTTATTTAGCACAGATAAATCCTTCTTGTGCCAACCAAATTTTTGTTAGTTTTCCAAAATACTTGTCTCCAACCCATGAATTGCTAATGAAGTTTTTATTTTCATCTACCCATTAATTTTTGTGCTTATTTTTCCTATATTGTCACCTTTATGTAAGAAAAGTAGTGCTAATGGAAAGATGATGAGAGGCTAAGACTGTCAAAAGGTCAGAAATTTGAGTTACAATATTTTAAGGTTGTGAAAGGCCAGTCCTTCTTATATAGAAAAGGAAACTTTTCCAAGCTATGTAGTATTTAGTGTATAAAATTTCAGTTTTGATAGTGGTGAAATTTTAAATTATAATCTTGAGATATATGCTATATGATAAATAATAGTATGCTTTCTTTAATGCATGTGAACATATAATGCTGAAAAGACTATTACCACAGAATTATTCTTTAAAAAAAAAAACAAACTAGGATTTTGTTAAAGACATCAATAGCAATACCTATATATAAATTCCTTTCTTACCTGAAACACTCATGTCACCAGTTTGGGCACAAACTTAGGTGTTTTTCAAAGGAACAAACAATAAAGAACGAGCTAGCACACCAGTGTGTTCGGGCTGAGGATTTAAAAGATATTGTTCAAGAAAGTAAACTGAGTGCTGAAAGGAAAGCGTTGTGTACAAACCATCAATCCACTGTTGTTCACATAGCAGTAAAAATATGTAAAGAACAATGATGCTAAAATTGTTCTGAAGTAAGGACTGTTTGTTGTGGGAAAAACTAATACTCTTGGAAGTTAGGAGGCTGTTACTGTATATACCACTTGCTCCTAGTTGTTTCATTCTATTAGTAGGTAGCAAATTATCCTGGAATCATATAGTACTTTAGTCTAGCATTCCATTCAATTTGATGAAAATACCTTTTGAAGATACATTCTGAGCCTTAAAAACGGCTGATATTGACAGTACTGTTAAGATGCACTGCCAGCAGATTTATACCTTTCATTTCAGTGTATGACTGTAATGTTTTCTAAGAAAGATTTAAAAATCAGCTGATTAAGCGTAACTATTTATGGATTGAAACACTCAAGTGTATCTCATTCAGAACACTTCAGTTTGGAAAGGTGGTGTTCATATTTGGGGATGTTTCTGAAAGTAGCCATTGGATAAACTGCCTAAGGAATCTGTCAAGTTATACCAGGTTTTATTCCTTCTGAAATGTATTCTACCTGTTTTCCTTAAAATGTCTTCATTGATTGAATGGTTAATATCTGTAGTAATATTTTAGGTACCTGTTGGATTCTTAAAGGAAGATTATTTATTTTCAAATTTGCTGCTATAATTGAAAATTTACTAACTGGTCCTGTTGACTGTGCCTTTCATCGCTGTTTCTCTGTGCCACAATCGTTCATGTGTATTTGAAATAAAGAAATAAAAAAAGCCATGTTGAATTCAAGATTCTTTATAATAAAAGTACATAAAACTTAATGAGTTGCAGATTGTTTATTATTAATTTTAACAAACACTAATACAGTATAGTTTATTTGATCTATTTTCAGTTAGAAAATAGGAGTAGGTCCTGTATTTGGATCTTTGACGTCTTTAAAAAATAAAAAGCCTTAACTGCTATGACAGTGAATCAGTGTTATATAGGTGTTCACGCTATCATCATACACATGATGCAATTCCCAAAATAAGAGCAGCTGTCATGGGTTGTGTCAATCTAATTCGTTTTGTTTTTTTGCACAGAAAATGCTGTTGATGTTTAGGGTATGTAATACAAGTGATTCCTGCTTGAGTTACATTACAGGATAAGTAGGCTTTTGAAGGTGAGATTGAGGTCATGTGGTATATATAAATGTTTAAAATACAGCACGTGAGAAATGGCGCTTCAGTGCTCCTAGTCAGGGAGGTGTGTTACTACCATGCTGTCCAAATGAACACTCCTTTGAAGTAATGCTTGCTTCATATTAAAAAGAGTTTTATTTGGCATAGTGCCTAACGCATTTGACTGCTAACCAGAAAGCTGGCAGTTCAAACCCACCAGCCGTTCCATGGAAGGAAGACTGGGCAATACTTCTGTAAAGAAAGATTTACCTCCTCAGAAACCCAAAGGGGGTTGCTATGAGTTGAATCAACTCAATGGCAGCGAGTTTGGTTTTGTTTTTTATATTTTCTCCATGCTCTTATCACTGTTGTATGAATGAGTAAAATACATGCTTTAGTTCCAAAAATATTTATTACAGAAATGTACACGTCATTAGTTTAAAGGAATGTATTGGATAATAGCATTCACATGTATTTCCTCCTTTGCAAACTTTACACTTTTAAGATATATCTACAAGGATAATTTATTTACAAACTTTACATGAAATCTCCATCACTTTTTACCAATACTTCTGACACAGCTCTGACTGAATATCCTCATTTTTCTTTTCATTTCACTCTGTACTTGTAGAAAGAACACAGCGTGTGAGTAAAGTTCCATCCCAGTGCTAGTGACAGTCCATAGAGTAGAATGAGAGGTGCAAATGGATAGAGAAGAATTACCGTGTTTTTCAAAAATGGCAGTGCTGGAAAAGAAACATCCAAATTAATTTTTTTTAAAAAAAAGGAAATTGATATGACTAATAAATGAACAATTTGAAAGACAGTTCTTACTACAACATGTGAGGCCAAAAAGGAAAGTATCTTTGAATCAACAGAATGATGCTATCAGCCAAAACTATACTACAGTTCTTTGTTGCTTCCTAAGGCTCTGAAGAAACTGAGAAAATGGATTATTTCAGCACAAATGCTGAGTGAGACCTGAATCTGGAACTAAGACAAGAGTGAGGGACAAACATCACAAATATTAGGAAGTGATGGATATAAGCCTATGACAACTTCAGAAGCCTCAAAGTCGATCTTAAAGTACCAACAGAGAAATGTTACAGGAAAAAAACTCAGCCATTTGAGATTTCCCAATGTTAAATAGCATGACATCCTTGCTTTGAGAAGATAACATCTCAACTCTACTATCTCAAGCTTTAGGAAAGAACTGAAACTCTGGCCCCCAGATTTATTTCTTTTTTGCTCACTGAGTACTTAGTGGGATCCTACTGAAATTGTGCTGTACTCCCAAGGAACTTGTTCTCAATGGAAAGGAGTGGCCAGGAGAGTTCTCAGAAATCCCGAGAGAAACCACAGCATTGCAGTGTTCTAAGCACAATTTAAAACACTTAAAAATTCCTAAGAAACCTGGATATAAAATGTCACAAACAGCTTCCCCAAAGCAAAGTATTAAAATCTGAGGCCGGCTGAGAGGTCCTGGTAGATGACCCATGGGAGGAATAGGGACAAATCTATGACTGGTGGAGCCTGTTAGATCTAAGGAGTGTGTATTTAAAGTTCCAGTCATTCAAAACAAGGGCCAAAAAAAAAAAAAGGCTAACACAAAAATTTCAATTTTGTTTAGCTCTATTTAACACAGATAATTTCTTACCATGAAGAATACAGTTTTTTTTTTTATTCATACTAAAAATGAACTCACTGCAAGATTTAACATTTACAAACATCCTAAGGTTAGTTCTCTAATCACAGAAAACCATACAGTAGTCATAAAAACTGAAAATGAGGCAAAAGGATGACTCAAAAAGATTTCAAACAGACTCAAATTCATATATCCACATGCCCACATCTGACTCAACCTTTTCTTCACTGTACCCTACTACTGGTAACCCAGAAACTGAAACTATGGGGGGGGGGGGAAAGGGAGAGGAAAATTGTCTTGGATTTCTACAAGTTAGCTGGAGATGATCAAATAATCGTTTAACATGTTTGCTTGAAACTAAAATTTGCTATACTGCAGCTATGTCACTCTAACTGTGTGGCCAGGAGCAAGTTACTTCCAATCTCCAAGCGTTAGTTTCCTCATTTGAAAAATGGGGATCAGAAAACCTGTATGATACAATTATTGTGAAGATTAAATGGATAATACATCTAAAATACTTGGGACACTGCCTATAAGGGCTCCATAAAAGTAAGATGTTAATATTACTATTATAGCTTCCTCCCTCCCTGCTAGGTTCCCAATTACAAAACAAGAAAAATTTTAATTACTTACCACTGTATCCTAGGAACGTTACATATATATAATAGCCAACTGCTATCAACCATAAAGTATTTCCAATGAAATATCCAATAAATGTGTCTGTTAGGATAACATCTGCCAGAAGATATACATACAATGAATCTCATAACCAGTGCATACAATGAAGAGTTTCTGATAATATTTTGAGAACTGCTACTTACAATTGATGAAAAAAAGCTGGATAAAATGCAAAATGACAAGGAGTGGATAGAAAGCATTTAGATGCACATCAAAGGCATAGCCCCATTCCACATCATAATCACGACTCTGTCGTTTCACTAAATACTTGTTAGAGATGAACCTGAAAGGCAAAATTAAAATAATTTTCAAAATACAATTAATAATAAAATTAACTCTATAATACATACTGATTACCTTCTATGTGCCAGGCAGGCACTATTTTTAAATACAAGAGATACAGTAGTAAACAGACAAAAATCCTTGCCTTCGATCTAGAGGGAGAAGACCCTCAGTAATTTAACTAAAATAATTAAATGTATGTCAGAAGGTACAAAGAAAAAAAAAGCAGTAAAGAAAGAGTATGAAGTTGAGGTGCAATTTTAAATCAGAAGGCCATGAGAAAGTACTACAGGGAAAAGACCCAAGGGCAGTGATTAGAATGACCCAGGTGTGCTTGAGGAATGATAGAGACCAGTGTGCCAGGAATACATGAAAACAAAGAAATGAAAATAAAACCCGAAAGGAAAACAGCCAGATTTCATAATGCCTTGTAGGCTAATTTTAAGACGTTTGGCTTTTACTCTTGGTGAAATGAGAAGCTATTAAGGAGTTTCTGTAAAAGTGTCTGACTTTTTTGACAAGATCCCTTTTGCTGCTGATCTGAGAACAAACGGGACAAGAGTGGAAGCAGGGAGACCACTAAGAAGGCTACTGCAAGGAAGAGATGAACAAACAGGATAGTAACAGTGGAGGTGTTAAGATGCAAGAATACTATATTTGTAGGGGAGTAAAACGATTTAAGGGTTAGATGTAGAGAAATGTTTTTGTTTTTTTTTTTTAAACAAATGAAAAGATAGAGCTGCCACTAACAGAGGTGGGGATGGCTGCAGAAGAGTAGTTTGGGGGCAGAAAAGAGTGTACAAATTTAGATTTGAACCTGTTAGAACTAAAGATGCCTATCAGTATGGAAAGGAGCTCTGGTGGCACAGTGCCTAAGGCATCTGATTGCTAACCAGGTTGGCAGCTCAAACCCACCACCCTCTCCGCAGAAGGAAGATAAGATGGGGCATTCTGCTTCTGTAAAGATTTACCACCTTGGAAACCCAATGGGGGTTCTATGAGTTGGAATTAACTCAATGGCAGTGAGAGAGACCAGTATGGAGAGTAAGAAGCTCTATTAGTGTGGTAGTTAAGGCACTTGGCTGCTAACAAAAAAGGTCAGTGGTTCAAACCCATCAATATTCCACAGAAGAAAGATGTAGCAATCTGCTTCTGTAAAGATATACAGCCTTGGAAACCCAATGGGGCAGTTCTACTCTGCCCTATAAGGTCACAACTGACTTGATGGCAGTAGTCTTTTTTTTTTTTTTTTGGTTTATCAGTGTAGAGCAAAAAGGTATATACACAAGTCTAGAAGAAACTCCAAATCGGAGCCAGCAACTCGTCAGGGTATAGATGCTATTAAAGCCATGGGCCTGAATGAGATCACCAAAAGAATAAGCATAATAAATAGGCCCAAGGCCTAATAGGTGGGCCATCTCCCTGTTAAAAGATCAGGGAAGGAGAAACCAGTAAGAAAAGAGAAACCAATGACATTCTCTAACCAGAAGGGCAATTACTCAAGCTTAAGTCACTTTACAGCATGGTCAACTAGTTGCTTGGCTCAATGATCAATCAATGAAAAGTAAGATATACAGGTAACAGAAACGTAGATCTTCAAAGAAATGCTATTCCCGCAATGGAAACAAAAAGAAGAAAGAAACAGGGAGAACATGGCACAGTGCTAATAAAATAGTCCTGTGTTTAGTTAAAGGAGCCCTGGTGACCAAGTGGTTAAGTGTTCAGCTGCTAACCAAAAGGCAGGCAGTTTGAACCCACCAGCCACTCCACAGAAGAAAGATGTGGCAGTCCTGCTTCTGTAAAGATTCGAACCTTGGAAATCCTATGGGCAGTTCTACTCTGCCCTATAGGGTCATAAGGAGCTCTGGTAGTGTAGTGCCTAAGGCATTTGACTGCTAACCAGAAGGCTGGTGGTTCAAACTCACCAGCCACTCCTCAGAAGGAAGGTTGGGCAATCTACTTCTGTAGTGTTACTGCCTTGGAAACCTAAGGAGGGGTCGCTATGAGTCAGAGACAACTCGATGGCACGATGGCACGTAACAACAACAACAACATAGGGTCATTATGAGATGGAAATGAATTGACAGCAATGGGTAGGGCACGTAATTATCTGAAAATGTAAACAAACAAACAAACAAAACAAACACTCTTCATTTGAGTAAATTGGTACTTAACATCATTCATTTTAGCCAAGAACATATGCCATTAAAAATTTTATGACTGTCAACCACTCGGAAAGGAATCAAAATAGGAGATCCTGGATAGAGTGGGAGAAAAATGTAGAACAAGACACAAAATCATAAAAAAGACCAGGCTTACTGGTCAGAGACTGGTGAAACCCCCGAGATTATGGCCCCCAATCAGCCTTTGGGCCTAGAAGTGAACTCCCTCCTCTGGTTTCCAGCCAAACAATAGACAGGTGTGTAAGGTGAACATTTACACAAGGTAGGTACACTCCTAAGAACAATCAACCATGGGAGATCAGAAGGGCAATATTTACACAAGGGCAGGAATGCATAGGAAAGGAGGATATTGGGAAAAGGTAACCACAGGGAGGAAGAGTGGGAAGAGAGCTGTTATGGGCATTGCAATCAATGTCATGAAACAAAATGTGTATGAACTTATGTATGGAAAATAAATTTGTTCTGTAAACTTTCACCCCCATTACAAAAAAAAAAAATTATGGCATATAGCTGACTACCAAAGATAATTTTCATTAACGGGGTCATTCTCTAGCTGGCCCAGCCAGCCCTTCACTTGTTCCAAGCTCCTCAGTCTATGCCTTACCTCCAGAATACAGACATTCCTTCTGAGAGCTCAAAGGCAACTGTGATTTTCACCGCTCACCTCCATTTTTAGGGACACCAGTCATGCCCTTATCTTGGCCCAGACTGTTGTCTCTAGGTTCAAAGTCCTCTATCCCAATTTCTCCTGTTTCCATCGAGTCGGTGACAACCCCATGTGTTGCAAAGCAGAACTGCTCCACAGGGTTTTCAAGGCTGTGACCTTCTAGAAGCAGACTCCCAGGCCTTCCTCGAGGTACATACAGGTGGGTTCGAACTGCCAACCTTTCAGTTATTATGGCAGAGTACACCATTGTTTGTACCATCCAGGAACTTGTTAACCTTTATTTCTACTAATATTCAACCGGGAGCTCTGGTAGCATAGTGGCTAAAGCACTTGACTGCTAACCAGAAGGCTGGCGGTTCAAACCCACCAGCCACTCCTTGGAAGGAAGGTTGGGCAATCTACTTCCGTAGTGATACTGCCTCGGAAACCCAAGTAGGGGTCGCTATGAGTCGGGGCTGACTCGACGGCACATAACAACAACAACAATATTCAACCAGCTACTTAAACTCAACATACTCAACATACAATCTACACCTCCACCTGCCACCTACTAGTACCTAAGCCAAAAACGTACAGGCCACCCCAAAGGAGCCCTTAGCTGCCTTCTCTTCCCCACCCCTCACCAGATCCAGTTACCATGGGAAGCTCTATAATCCATCTCTCTCCTGTTCCTATTACCAATACGTGTCAAGGCCGCCTCTTCTCTGAACAGACCCCTGCAATTATATCCAGCCTTGCACACTTCTCCAACTCCTCTATGCCACAGAAAAGAATTTTCCTAAAATGTGAATTTGGTGTTATTTTCTTACTTCAAAGTTCCCCACTTCTCTGCTGCCCCCACCCCAACAAACACATGCAGCCTGTGAGCTGAAGTCTAGGGTTTTTTTTCCCTGAATTACATTAAGGCCAAGTTCTCTTCCCCAGCCAGTGTCACCCTATGCTTCCAGAGCTGGCATGTTTTTCCACACTTATATGCCTTTGCACTTGCAATTGCTGGTATCAGGAATCAACGATCTCCATTTCCTCAAAACACCTCCTCATGCCAGTTCCTGTGGCATTTCTGAAATAATCAAAACTACATGTAATAATCATTTCTATTTCTAGTTCCTCACAAAATTCACATAACATGGGTGTTCAAAAATACACTGAGTATTTTACTATATAACTCAATCTATAATGCAGACTCATATTAAAGACACAGAACTCCAGGACAGCTTGGTTTCTGTGACCCTACAGTCACTACACTCAGAAAGCTTGCTACAAATTAAACTATTATTCAATCCTTTATTGATTGAAATATTTTCATAGGCCATTAGTTTGGCAGGCATATTTTAAAACTGAACGTATCTGACATTAGTTAGCACTATTAACTTAGGCCAGATTCTAGATTAACAGCATACAGCAATTTATTGACTACCTGTTGTTACTGCTGTTGTGTGCTGTTGAGTCGATTCTGACTCATAACGACCCTACAAGACAGAGCAGAACTGCCCCCATGGGGTTTCCTACGCTGTAATCATTACAGTAGGAGATTGTCAGGTCTTTCCTCCCACAGAGTGACTGGTGGGTTTGAACCACTGACCCGTCTGTTTGTAGCCAAGCACTTAACCATTGTGCCACCAGGTCTTCTTATGAACTACCAAGTACATATAAAAGCTATACTGTAAATCAGAAGTTATAAGGAAAGCAAAAAAGGTGACATCAGAGGATATAATCTCAGATTATTTTTCAATTAAAATAACAATAACTACCATTCATTGAACACATACCATGTGCCAAATACTTTTCATACCACAATCTTCTCAAAACCTTAAAAAATACACTAGTTCCATTTTACAGTAGAGGAAACTAGGACTTAGAGTCACACAGTCATCAAATGACTGAGCTGGCACTTGAACCCAGGTCTCTCTGAGACTGATATGTTCCATTGTGTTTTCTCAGATACCACCATGCCTATTCAACCAGTCGGCCCCAACTGAAATCACTTGCCACATCCATCCCCTTCATCTAGCATGCCAACCACAGAGTAGTACTTATCTGTGAGATTTGAAAAGCCACATACTAGATTTATACACCAAGGAGTCCTAAAGGAGCTCTGGTGGCGTAGCGGATAAGGCATCTGACTGCTAACCAGAATGTCAGCAGTTCAAACCCACCAGCCACTCCGCAGAAGGAAGATGGAGCAATCTACTTCTGTAAAGATTATAGCCTTGGAGAGCTATGAGTGGAATAAACTCAGTGCCAGTGAGTTTGGTTTTGGTTAGAGTCCTTAGGTGACAAGCGACTAAGTATTCGACTATTAACCTTAAGTTTGGTAGTTTGAACCCACTCAGGGGCACCTCAGAAAACATGCTAGTGAACTGCTTCTGAAAGTCACAGCCTGAAAACTCTATACAGCAGTTCTACTCTGAACATACAGGGTCACTATGAGTCAGAACTGACTCAACTAACAAGATCTATACAGAAAATGTTGTTGTTGGGTGCCATTGAGTTGGGTTTCGATTCAGTGACCCCATGTGTCAGAATACAAGTGCCCACAGGGTTTTCCAGACTGTAATCATCATAGGAATGGATCGCCAGATCTCTTCTCCCATGGAGCTGCTTGGGGGGTTTAACTGCCAATCTTTCAGTTAGCAGCCAATATACTAGTTATTAAAGCAAGCCCAAACAAAAACAGACTAAAAACCCTTTCAACAAAACCTGTGTATATGTGTTTTATTCTCAGCAAGAAGGCACCAGAAATTTTTTTTTTTAAATCTTCATTTTCAAGTGTACTTCATTTTAATGCCAAAGAAAGATTCCATGAAATAGCCCTCTAGATGTTATATACTCAGAAGTGGTCTCCACTAACACATGTGCTTGAACTGTGCTATTATCTAAACAACTTAAGCACAATTGGTTAAATGCATACTATTTTTGCAAAATCAGGGATTTGTTAGTATGATATAATCATTATTTCAATTTAATTTTGTTGCAGTTTGACATTACAGACCATCCATCCCTTCAAGAATTTTCTGACAGATGTATTAACAGAGGGTACGAGTTATAATAATCTTGGCTGTCAAAACTAATCCTGTCAATCAATCTACCTTAGTTCCACTTCCATGAACTACTGTATCGCTGAAGGGAATGGGTACTCTGGCAGTACCTGAAAAACCAGAATTATGGTACTTACCACATTAAAGTTGATATGAGAAGACCAACGCCTACACAGTCTATGAATACAACCCAAAGGAGAAGCTTTATCGTCTCAAAAAATCCCATGTCCAATACAAAGCCAAATCCTATAGTGGACACTGAAAGAAAGGATTTGCAAGATTCATTCAGGCTCTGTGCTTTGTTCTGGGGATATAGGACACAGCCCCTGCCCTCCAGATTTCCATAGTCTAATGGGAGCTCTGGTAGCCTGGTGCCTAAGGCACTTGACTGCTAACTAGAAGGCTGGCGGTTCAAACCCACCAGCCACTCCTCAGAAGGAAGATGGGGCAATCTACTTCTGTAGTGATACTGCCTTGGAAACCCAAGGAGGGGTTACTATGAGTCAGGTCCGACTTGACGGTACATAACAATGGAAGAGGCAGATAGGTAAACAAACCCCAAAAATATTATTTATTATGTATAACTGATGTAGAAATGCATTCCATCTTTGAACACAGAATGGCCATGGTGATATTTTAAGCTTACTGAGGAGGGTCTTTGGCTGGTTAGTTCACCCCAGCATTTAGAACAGCACCAGTACAGAGAAGGCACATGTATCTTATCTTCAATTAAAAGGGGAAAAATTGTACATACTTCAGCACCCAAAAGGTGGTTAGAACTCTTTCACTACACTGTTGGAGAACTTAAAAGTAGTTTCTCAAGTCACATCAGTGTTTTACAACTCTCACTCTTGGTTTGCCGGACTGTGAAATGCAATTTCCAACCTCAGTATTTGTCTTCACAGAAGTTGGCATTTGGGTATCACTAGTTAAAACACCTGGAATGAATCTGTCCCCTGCTTTTAAAAGAACTAAGTTTACACTCAGGTATCATCTGCTTTAGACTTGCAGAATCAAGGGGAACCAATCTACTTTCCTGTGAGATTTCTGAGGTTTCACAAAACAGCTCCAAATATCCCAAAATTCTGACCCACAAGGCAACTGTAACAAAAACTCTTCCACAGGTCAAGTCCAACATGAATCGCTCAATTTGTTCTTCAAGTCTACTGCATATAAACCAGTACTTACCACACAGCCAAATACTCAAAAGGACCAAAAAAGCAGGGTCATCTCTGGCCCACTGATCCTTTGTCTGCTTTCGATAATGAAAGTTTCTATAAACTCTCTGTGGGGAAGTGAACAGGTAGAGCATCTGCCAGGCAGCAAACTCAAAGTCCATCTGCCGAAAACGAAAAAGCCTTCTCAAGTACTTGTAGCGTTTTGCTCCAGCTGTGTGTCTTGCAGCATCCCTCGAATTCAAGGCGCCATTCCCCTGTATTTGGGAATTCATTGAAATACTTGGTAACATCTTCCTAAACAGAAGAAAAAAACATCTCCTTTACAAATAATCTGAAGAAATTTCTAGCTAGTAGCACACCTTTTCCCATTTAAAAGCAGGGAGGTCACGATACATTGTCATCCTGACTCCTTACAAAGGTCAGGGGTCAAAAGAGAACAGAGTTGACACTGAAACTTGTTCTGGGGCTTGAGAACTGCTTATTGCAATGGCAACACCAAGCCTTTCTGAATGTGATAACACACAGGGTCCAAGCATTTCACACACTCCTCTCGATCCACCCACGGCCACATGAAGTAATTAGTCTTTACAGCAGGAAGAGGAAACAGATGCTGGGTAGAAAGTAACTTCCCATGTTCACCTCTCAGAGAGATGGGGACAAGATTCCAATTCAGAAAGTCCGACTCCAAATTCAATGCTCTTTAACCATAGAGCTTTTAATGGAAATTCTTTGTTTAAACTGATTAGAAAATGTTACAGAAAATCTAAAATAAATGGCTTATCCACACAAGTCCATCAGCCTATGGCAAGCAAACTACTCCACTAGAGTGTGATACTGAAACAAAGCAAAGCTCAGATCCCTAGTGTTTTTCTCCATTAATAGTTCAACAAGAGGAATGACGACACAGGATTTCAGTCCGATCAGTCAGGAGGCCCGGTGAGGGCAAGTCGCCGTCCGGCCTCCACGCCCAGGCAGCCCATTCTCGGACTCCACTCGGCAGGGCAGGGCTCGGAGACGTCAACACTTCGCCGGGCCCAGCTGCTCCCTGCCAGCCTGGGGCTGCGGGCAGGGCTGCCAGATTCAGCAAATAAAATACAAGTCGCCTAATTAAATCTGAATTGCAAAAAAACAACAAATAATTTTTTAGCCTAAACACGTCGCACGCAATGTTTTGGCCTACATTTATTCTAAAAACTTACTCGTATATCTGAAATTCAAACTTAACTGGGAGTCCTTTACTGGCAACCCACCCACGGGCCGAGGAAGGCTGGACCTGGGGCAGTCACTCCCGGGCCGCAGCGATGTCAGGCCGCGAACTACCAGAGGAAACGGCGCCCGGCGCGACCACGAGCCGCGCGCAGGCAGAACGGTCCTCAGGCCTCACCTAGAGCCCTGCTACGGGTGGCCTCGACCCAGCAGCCCACTAGTCCACCACCTTCTTTCAGCAGCCAAGCCCACCAGCCGCCAGGGCAACTTCTCTTCCCGCAACGTAGCCGGCGCCCGCCCCGGCCCTCCGGGCGCGTTCGCGTCACGTGAGCCCACTTTCCCCGGGCGCGCGGCCTCTCGGTCTCGGTAGTCCCTCAGCCCGACCTCCGCGGGGTTGCCGGAAGTTGTTGCTGCCGGCTTCCTGTTCCGTGTATCGCTGGCGTCCCTTTCCCTTAAAGCAGTAGCAGTTGGTGCATAGTGAAGCGGTTGGAGGCCAGGGCGAGCGGGAGTCGTCGTCATGCCCCGATATTATGAGGACAAGCCAGAGGGTGGCGCGTGCTCTGGCGTGAAGGAGGACCTGGGCGCATGTCTGCTGCAGTCGGACTGTGTGCTTAAGGTAGCGCGGCAGGCCTCTGGGAGCTCGGTGTGATAAACGTCGGCTAAAACAGGGAGGCAGGCCTCGGCAGAGATCTACCCCTCGGCCTGCAGTGGCGGCCAAGAGACGTGACTTAAGAGTTAGCCATCCAGATGTAAAACACAACTACAGCTGACTGCGGGAGCTCTGGTAGCATAGTGGCTAAAGCACTTGACTGCTAACCAGAAGACTGGTGGTTCAAACCCACCAGCCACTCCTCGGAAGGAAGGCTGGGCAATCCTACTTCTGTAGTGATACTGCCTCGGAAACCCAAAGAGGGGTCGCTATGAGTCGGGGCCGACTCGATGGCACATAACAACAACAACAACAACAACAGCTGACTGCACTTGGATAGATCCATTGACCTGTCGGAGCTTCATTTCCCTCAGTTATAAATTGGATATAGTGATACCTGCCCTGACGGGTTTTTGTAAGGATTAAAAAAAACTTTTCGGTTCAGGAAACATTTATTGTATGCTGGCACTCGGTTCTGGAGACATGAAGGAGAATAAGACAGGTTTCTTGGACACTTGGAAATGAAAATCTGTAGAATTATCTTAGAGAATTACATAAACTTGGTACACGGTATTGTCTAGTATATTTTCTTTCTTTCTGTTCTTTTTACCGCGTATTGTTTTTGTTTCTGAGTTTCAGTTTTATACAGTCTCGGGTGTTAAGTTATGAAGGAGGCAACTCCATATTTTCAGCATTTTATTTACATCTTGATTCTCCCACACTTTGCTCTCACTACCTTCCAGGTCTTCTCAGGACCTAAATCTGAATGAGTGAGGCATGCAGTAGGTACAAAGTTGTGGGGAACCTGGATTCTAGTTTAGAAGCCAAGTGCCTTTCCCTGTTCCAAGGAAATTAGATGGCAGTTGTGTGCAATTATTTTTCCCGTTTGGAGAACATTGTAGAAACTTTGGGCCTATTTTCAAAGAAAGTTTCAGAAATTTGGTCTAATTTCAAAGAAGACAGTTACCAAAGAATAGACAACCACCATAAAGTCATATCATTGTGTCTACTGAGTCACAATTTATCTTTTTTTTTTTTTTTTATTAGGATTTGGGTGAAGATTTACAGAGCAAATTCACTTTTCATACAGCAGTTCACATATACTTTGTCTCATGTCAT